GCTCTCCAAACGTACTCTCTTTTACTAGACTTTTGCGAAAAACGAAAAAAATTTTGCAATAATTTGCACACATTATTGAGTAAAAGAACAAACCCAGAGTTTCATTTTTCATTTGCATGGTAAATATCGATGAATAGTAACATTGACTAAAAATTGTCACCGAAATAATGAAACCAGTGGAATATGTATGTAAACGTATACAAGTAACAGCTGACTGCCAACAATAAGGCTACTTTTAGACTACTAAATCCACTCGATTTCAAACGTAAATTCCATTGCGTATTCGTCACGTTACCGTATACATCAATAATTATATTTGACGTATACGCTATGAAATTGACATTTGAGATCGAGTGAATTTCGTAAATCTAAACGTACCTTAATGCCAGACTAAACTGTTAGGGTTTTGTAGTTCGATTTGGAAATCAAGTCGATTTAGAAGTCATAGCTTAAACTCGCCCTAAATTTCAATTTACATTGATTTACTATACAAAATTAACAGTACGTTTACATTGTACCGGATTTATTAAATCCAGCCGATCTAAATTGTAAATTTCATTACATATATGCCGAATAAATCCTCATAGAGGAGGTTAACAGTACGTTTACATTTAACCGGATTTCGTTAACCCAGTGGGTTTCAATTGTCAATTCCTTTGAATATATGTCAAATAAATCCAAAAAAGTTCTAATGTAAATGCCGTTTAAATCTAATACATTTCTCAGATACAACACTGCTTTTTCAAAAGAAAAAAATCATCACATCTCCCGAAATTATGCTTCAAAATATGTTAAAATTCAAAACATATGGCAGCTGCTGCTGTAAAATTGAGATCTTTGTAATGAATAATTTATGAATTATAAATATTATTATAATTGAAAAAAAAAAACAAACGCTTTTATGCATTTTTGACCTAAGATTGAACAATTCCTATTAGAATTATGAAAATATTGATTAAAAATTATAACATATACGATGAAACCAGTAAATGTGTATGCATGTAAACAAATAACAGCTGACTGTCAACTGTATATAGCATTCATTTTGTATCTCGACTTGGAAATCTAGTATATTTAGAAGGCATACTGAAACACCTTTAGACTATGGCTTCTAAATCGACTCGATTTGTAAATTGATGTACTAAATCTTTGCACTTTAAACGGTATGTACATTATAACGTTTTACCGGGTTAACCTACTTTTTGAGAATATAGTTGACATATATGCAATAAAATTGACAACATATACCCACTGGGTTAACGAAATCCAGTACAATGTATACGTATTGTTAGATTAGTATTAAAGTAATATAGTCAGTCAGCTGATATTTGTTTATACACAAGGCCTATCAATAAAGTCACCCAGAAATATCAGCTGATTTTAAAATTGCTGTCAATATTCATTTTTGTGGATTGTAAAGTAAATTATGCAAATGTTTAAATTCAATGGTGGCCATCTGATTAAAATTTTTTCTCAAAGTGGCCTATTCTACCAAACCAAAATACATATTTTGTATTGTATTGTAATGTAAATTGAATTATTTTCGAATTTAATTGATAATTTTTTATTGCGCTCCTCTTGAAGTTTAATAGAGCGCTTTTAGACTACTAAATCCACTCGGTCTCAAATGTCAATACGGCACCTTAAGGTACGTTTAGATTTAAGAAATCCACTCGATCTTAAATGTCAATTGAATAGCATATACGTCAAATGTAATCCAATGGATTTGTGAGCATGTGAGCCTGCAATATAGTACTATATTGCACTAGTTGTGCAATTTTTACTAGAAAAGCGTTTCCTTACGTCGAAAAGTAGGAAAATTTTAAGTTAAATTTAAGAGAGTTAAAACCAAAATGGCGTTCTCTTCTCCTATTTTCTGCAAGACCAATTTGGCCTAGCACGAAATAGTAAATGTAGTAAATTGTGAATTTGACATTTGATTACCAGAGATATACAGTCCGAAATAAAGCATATGAAAGTTAGCGCTTCAAAAAAAGGACACACGCACAGACGCACACACATTTGCTTGAAAAAAAAAACAAATAGGAAATTTAAAAATGGACAAACTGATTTTTTATTATCTTTTGAAGGATAGCGAAGATGAATGACTGGCAGAAGATACAGATGAAGATACTATAGAATGAAGATGTGAAGATGAATGTGTGTACATTGGTCCAAAATATCTTGGGCTTAAGTCAATTTTAGGGGCATTTTTACAGTAAGTAGTCCTCGGTGAACTGATTACAGTGATATATATTTTATAGGGAGAAATGCATACTTCCCGCGATATGGGCCTTAAAAAGTACCCGACATAACCTTTTAATGATACCCATATTGCCTTGGTGGCAATAGAAAAAGGGTTGTTTCGAAAAGGTTGTTCCGAAATTTCAAGGCCAATATCTCGGGAAGTATGCATTTCCCCACATGAAATTTATATATCGGTGATCCGAGTGGAGCCCTTAAACTTGACTTGTTCCATATCTTGTTGTTCATGTTTGCTAAAACATTCCAATCGAAATATCTGCCAATTTCAATAGCATTAACGTTATGGGAGCGTCCAGCCATGTAAACCTTTCCGTTCACAAATCCAGTGGATTATATTTGAAATATATTGACATTTGAGATCGAGTAAATTTCGTTAATGTTAACTAATTTTTTTCTCAGTTATTAGTGCAACAAACACAAATTTTAGGAAGAAATCATAACCTTTCATTCATTTTTCGCGTTTGTTTGCAATATGTTGAAAAATATCATTTGACAGAAAAAGTCACTACCTACAGAGTTGCTTTCTTGTTATTCACCTCGTATTATTGTACCATGAATACTATTAAATAAATAGATTTTTGAATTTTTTGCCATAAAATCTTCATATTGAATATTGTTTTAGTTCTCTTACCTTTTTATAAAATTGTCCGCGTCGCGTAAATAGTTGTTATAAATACAAATTTCTTCCCCGGAACTATTCTACAGTATATTGTCTTTGCTCAATGTTATGGACGACAAAGTCACATCATGTGATGTTTGGTCAAATCGTGTGATTATTACAAAATTCCGTTCTTTTTTGTTTTCTTTACTATTTTCCCCCCTATTACATAAAAAACGTATGTTTTATTCTTTTTGTTATTTCCACCCATCCTATGTTTATTGATTATTAAATTAGGCAATGAAGAAGAAAAGGCGACAACAACAACAAAAAACAAACACTAGCAATATGACACGTTAATGACATTGCCAATGAATGGGTTAATAATAAATATAAAAACAACAACAACGACAAAATAAACCACACTACCGTTACAATGACCATGACTGTAATGTCATTAAGTGGGTGGAAGGGTGATAGAAAGGGGCTAAAAAACAAATTGGAATCTATGCGAGAGTTCGAAAAAAAGAAAAGCATCAATGTGTGAATATCGTCTCGCAAAAAACTGTTAATTTTGCTCGATTATGCATTCACACACACACAGGCACACATGCATCTAGGCATCCATATGTAAGAGTGATACCTATAACCCCAACAACACCACGACATGTGGCGGCAGCTTAGAAATGGAGGGAAAGTAATGCATTACTGTTGGTTGAGCTTATGTCAAAATGAGGCATGTTTTTGTTTGCAAGGTAGTAATTATTGTTCACATTGGTCGGAATTACATAAAGTTGTGACTTTTCATAAAATGACAAACAGTTATTGTAAAATTAAGCTGTCAAAATAAAATATGTCATAAAACATATGTTTTATGTACTACTAATTTGGTTTGTTCTCGTTTGTTTTTAGCCATGGCACAATAAACAAGAACATGGCACATTTAATACAGCTGATGACTTGATTAACTGTCAAAGTACATGATTTCTATTTGAATTCGATGTGCAATGTTGCCAACCATGTGAAATATTATATGGAAAATTTTGGCAGATGGTCGAGACAAGAACAAATGTTTTTGTTTTGATACATCACCTTATTATTGCTTCATGTTTTTAGCCAATCTGAAGTTGACCTTCCTGGATACAATTTGGCTACATTGCTATTTTGGCCGTATTTTTTAATTTTTCGATATGTTATAGAATATGTTTACATTTTACCGGATTTAGTGAACTCAGTGAGTTTAAATTGTCAATTCCATTGTACAGGGTCAAAAAAAAGAAAAAAAAAACTGCAACCAACTTCAGACTGCTGTCATTTCTAACCGACAGCTGTTAAAATTATTCCAGCTCATTATATTGTTTACAAGCGTACAAAAGCATTTTGGTAAGAATTTTCCAGAAAAAAGTTATTCGTGATGGAATTCAAGCGTGATAGTGTGATTTCTTTATATTTGGAAACCGACAAGTGACTATCGTTAGAGCACTCCAGCATTTAAATGTGAATAACTCTTGTGTGCAAGGCATAATTATACAAGCTAGTCTCATGCAGTCATATGTTTCCAATTTTTTCATAAATTTGCCTTTGACAGTATTCTGCTTTCAAAATTTAAATAAAAATATCTTCCTTCGAAATGTGTCCAGTGGCAAAAATTTTTGAATCATTTATATTTATTAATATTTTTAAGTTCCCTGCCTATAAAACCTATAAATATACTGGAATCGTAGACCGACGTAAAGGAAGTGGACGGAAGAAAACAGCAATATCGTGGAGATTCAATAATTCCAACAATAAAAACAATTGCATGAATGATCCTTCGCCCTAAAAAGGCATAAAGCTCAAAAATTCAGCTTGAGCCCGGCTGGGATTTGAACCCTGGTTCCCATGGCATCAGTTAATTGTTGTCCGGCGCCTTAGCGTTCAAAGCCGCTTAACCAGCGGCGAAACGCGTCGCATAATGCTGGGAATGTAGTATCTCTCTGGATTTCCTCTTCATTGCAACATCGTAGCTCATCTCGACAGAGAAATTAATGAAAAACCAGCAGATGGTCGGAAAAGTAAAGAAGTGACTTGATCAAAACTCGCGTCGCTGTGATAGAAAAATGACTTGTGAACTGAACATATCGCAATATTCGATTCGTCAAATATTGAAAAATGAGCTCGGGGTAAAGTCATTGAAATTCCAAAAAGAGCAAGAACTTACACCGCAACCGTAAGAAAATAGACTCAAAAGAGCTAAAAAGTTGCTTCGCTTGGCCGAAATTGGTGAACTGCCGAATTTGGTTTACTCCGATGAGAAAACATTCGTTGACCAACAGTTTGTAGACAAACAAAATGATCGTGTTTACTTGCCAAAGAGGGCAGCTGTAAATGTGTACCTTCGGTTGGCCACCAGAACTCAAGCGCCGGCCATCGTGATGGTGTGGGCCGCCATAACAGCCGATGGTCGCTCTCCGCTCGTATTAATCGACCGTGGCATCAGAATAAATGCCGAATATTATCGCGAAAATATTCTGGAGGGTGTATTTAAGCCTTGGGCAGGCAAACATTTTGGCCGCAGATCTTGGACATTCCAACAGGACTCAGCACCATCGCACTCAGCATGCGCCATCCAAAAATAGTTACAAAATGAGGTTCCTCGCTTCATTTCCAGCGCACAATGACCAAAATCTCCGAATACCAATCCGTTGGACTATTGTGTCTGGAGTATTTTGGAAAACGAGGTTGGCTCTAAAAAATACCAAAGTGTCGATCACCTCAAGCAAGAGCTTCGCCGGGAATGGGCCAAAATACTGCAGAGCAACATTGGGAAAGCGTGTGACGGTTTTATTGGCCGTTAGAAGGCCATAATTCGTGCCGAAGGTGACCAATTCGAACAAATCTACACGCGTACAAAATCTCCGTATACCAATCCGTTGGACTATTGTGTCTGGATTACTTTGGAAAGCAAGGTTGGCAATAAAAAATACCCAAGTGTCGATCACCTCAAGCAAGCGCTTCGACGGCAATGGGCCAGAATACCGGAGAGCGAAATTCGGGAAGCGTGTGACGGTTTAAATCTAAACTTATTCTAAAATTTGATCCTATTTCCGACATTCAACAAAATTAAGGAAGTTTTTTATCTCTCCTGTATATGTGTCAAATAAATCATCATAGAATAGGTTAACCCGGTAAAAAGTTCTAATGTAAATGTCGTTTTACCTCTTTTTGCAGTTTCGTTAACCGAAACATAACTACGTTTATACTATGCCTTTTAAATTGACTCGATTTATAATACGATTAACTAAATCCTAACTGTTTACACTGGCCTTAAAATTATATAAAGACAGTCAGATGATTTTTATTTACATATACATACGTCAAATACCCCAAAATGTAAACAAATGTCTTACTGAAAGTCTATGCCGTAATTTATAGAGTATCGAAATAAAAAACGCCTCTATTATTAGACATTACCAATGCAGTCACGAAAACTCACACATACATAGCATGCACAAAATTTTCTTTGTGAGTGGATTTCTGTGTGGGTGTGAGTGTGTTTGGAGAAAACCCCTCCACAAATTGATTGAGGGTAAGACAAGTGTTAAGATATGATTTTTTGTTTTGTTTTTTACTATTGTGTTTTATTTCATTTTTTTGTGTGGAGCGTAATTTAAATGTTGTGCTTTTGTTTTAGTTTAAAATAGAACGGGTAGTGATAAACATTCAAATAACGGTAGCTTGACCATTTCCGGCCAACAAAAAATTTTATATGTATATTAAGAAAAATTTGTCTAATTCATTTGTCACATAGTGTTTTATAATTGGATGGTGAGTGTGTAATTTCATTCATGTAATGTATGAAAAATATTATTGTTATTATTAATGGTCTGTTCCCGTACTGCAAGAATCTACTACTTTTTACTACGATAACGAAATTTCCTTTATGTTATCGAAGAAAATAGTAATATCTAGTAGATTCTTGCAGTACGGGAACAGACCATAAGTGACAAAATACAAAGTGATCACTACCTCTTTTGTTTTTTTTTTTTTAGAATAACATAGCATCGTAAGTATATAAAATTATAAATTTTTTTAATAAATAGCCTAGTAATTTAATTTGATAGGGGAAAAAAGAAGTGAGTTCATCGAAAGTGTTTCAAAATCATTATACGGCATTTACATTAGAACTTTTTACCGGGTTAACCTACTTTATGAGGATTTATTTGGCATATATTCAAAGGAATTGAAAATTTAAACCTACTGGGTTAACCAAATCCGGTTAAATGTAAACGACCTTTTTATATTGTTTTTAATCTACAGCACTTAATGCATTTTGACATAAAAGATTTTAAGTCGACTCGATTAAATAAATAGAGGAATTGACATTTGAAATCGAGTGGATCTATAGTACGTTTAAATTGTACTGGATTTCGTTAACCCAATGGGTTATTGTCCATTTCATTGTATATATGTGAAATAAATCCTCATGAAGTAGGTTAACCCGGTAAAATGTTCTAATGTAAATACAGTTTTAGTAGTCTAAAATCTACTCTTACTCGATTTCAAATGCCAATTCCATAACGTATACGTCACCTTAATCATGTTCACAAATCCAGTGGATTATATATGACGTATACGTTATGGAATTGACATTTGAGATCTAGGGGATCTAAACACACTTTAAACACGCTTTTACACATGATTACAAAATGAGGTTCCCCTCAGCGCTAAATGGCCACCAAAATATTCGGATACCAATCCGTATGCCTATTGTGTCTGGAGTATTTTGGAAAGCGAGGTTGGCACAAAAAAATACCAAAGTGTCGATCACCACAAGCAAGCGCATCGCCAGGAATACCGCAGATCAACATTCGGGAGGCGTGTGACCACTTTATTACACAGTTTCTACAATTGATTCTGTCGCTCTATAATTTTTATTAACTACCAAATTCTCACCGTCATTCTACATAGCTAGAGTTTACATCATATCTTAAGATAAGAAAATACTTTTTGTCCGCTACAGGGTTAGCGATATCCTCAAATGCTAACTAAAACGACATGTACATTAGAAATTTTTATCAGAGTAACCATGAGGATTTTTTTGACATACATTCAATGTAATTGTCAATTTAGAACTATTTGGTTTACTAAATCCAGTACAATGAAAATGTATTATAGTGTTGCGTACCTCATGGCACAATAAATGGGTAGTCCATTTAGCTCAGCTGACTATGAGATTAACTCTCAAAGTTTCTACTTGAATTCGATGTTCAATGTTGCCAACCTTGAGATAAGATACATTTTAACAGATGATCGAATAAATGATTGCAACGTTGCACATAAATGTAGACGTTTATAGTTTAAATAGGATAAAAACGTTCCGAACTGCCCTCGTATATGGATTCACCCATATCTTGAGAATCCAAAAATTGTGTGTTAGAATTTAAGTTAATTTGTGTTGTCAGTAGTTAGTTAAATAATGCATAAGTTTAAAACTTGTGCGGATTTTTAATGACTAATTGTGTTTGATACGTGAGTGTAGAGTTACCGCCGAAGTAAGAAAATCACAATTCTGGTTAGTTTTCGTTTCTACCAAGAGAGATTCCTTAGGCAGAAGAAATTAAGAGAAAATTATTGGCCGCAGTTGGCATAATCTAGTAGTGACAAAAGGTAGTCTGAGAATTTACTCACAAAAGATTTATTCGGCGGGAATTAAAAGTCCCTAAATTTATATGACTAAAATTGTTTATATTTTTGATATTTGAAAATATGTTGTGTTAAGTTTTTTCTATTTGTGAGAGAGGGAATTAAGGGGGAAGACATACAAGAATTCAAGCCTGCCCTGTTAAGTTGGCTTCGAATGAATTGTCAATTTATAAATGAATATCAGAGTCAAACTTGAATTTGGTCGCCGTTCTCCTTCTTTTACAATATAAGAAGTCAACTTAACATGCCATGCTTGAAAGTCATCTTATGTTTTCGCCCCTTTAGGGGGTTATAATGATGTAAGTGTGTAAAAAATCATTTAAAATTTGGAACAAAGGGTCAAAGAAGGGAGGGCATAGTGGAATAACGTGAAAATCAAGTAAGATGTATGTATCTATTCCCGAACCGCAAGAATCTTACATTTTTCCTTTATGATATCGAAAAAATTAGCAAACATTAGTAGATTCTTGAAAATACGAGAAAATACCACAGCTGATGTTTGTTAACGTACACTAACTGAAAACTAAAAATAAAACTAACTGAAAACATGTGTCAAATAGGTCATGATGAAATTTCGACAGAACTGACAATCACAACTGATGTTTTGTGTTTTGATGTAAATAAGTGAACTTTTTGCTTTAACCGTGGTACAATTATACGAGGTAGGGTATCTTTTGTCAACTTAGAGAAAATACGCCTCTACTTTGTGGGCTATAATGACATTGTTGACGTTTTCATAATCGAAGTCAATTCACCATAATGTATTTTGACAGCAAACTTGAGAAGCATCTGATTTCCAGTTTGTCTCCCTGGTTGACCTTATTATTAGACCATGGCAGAAACTACGCACTTTGACAGCTAATCTGATAGTCAGCTGCTCTAAATGGAATACCTATGGTATAGCGTATACGTCGAATAAATATCACTACTAAATTTATTGGTTTTATTTGATGTATAGGTTGTTTTAATTTCACTTCCTTATACAATTATTAATTAAATTATTGACAATTAAAAAACAAACAAAAATAAAGGTCATTACACCTCCCTAAAGCATTCGGTGTATTTTTCACATTTTTCCCATGATAAACAAAAAGACTCAAGGCTCTATGACCAGTGTGAAACTGACAGCTGTGTTAAAAAACAACAACAAATCACAAACAAATAAAAAGCTTTTTTCTAACAGTTACCTACACTACCACATGACACACAACAATGACATTTACTACATTTACTGCTCTTTTGTCAAATTGTGTTATTTTCTCTCTCGCTCTCCATGGTGGAGACTTCATTTGTAAAGAGAACGCGCGCACACACACACACACACACATGACGCCGCAATGAATGACACACACAGGACCAAAGGCAATGCCAATAGTGAAAAAAATGAGTTATGATTGTGCATGGTTTAGTTCCTTTGTAAAAATGAAAACGTATAGAAGCACAACGCAAAGCATCACGATGAAGTAGAATTTAAAAGGAAAAAATGCAAATTACTAGAAAAAAAGAAAACCAAAAGATCCCAAAAATCAAAAAATAAATAAATTGGGAAAAAGAAATCCTTTAAAAAAATAAATAAATATTTAAATTAATAAAAAACAAAAATAAATCGTTAGTGATTCAAATGTGTTAGTGCGTCGTATGTGTGCGCTGTGTCTACGAGTGAAAATGTTAGAAAAACCACTAATCGAAGAAAAATCAAATTACAAATATTTATTGTATCCTTTAATAAGCAAAGGAATGTAAGCTTTTTAAACCAACAAAAAAAAAATATTCGATGTGATATATAGGTATAAAAGAAAAAAAAACTTGCCTGCGTGTGTGTAGTAAATATCTGTTGGTGTGTATGTGCGCGTGTGTCTCCTGTATAAAAAACAACAACAACAAAATCAACCAATTAAAAGTGGCTATTAATAGCAATTTATTATAACAAAGAAGTGAAAACTAACAACAAAGAAAATATGGAGTGAAATTGTGGAAAATTTTACCCCCTGGTGGAAAAAAAAACACTGGGGAAAACACAAAATTCCAATTGATTTTTTTCTCGTCTTGCCAAACAATGATTTTGTGAAAGGTGTATGTTACAAGCAGCAGCAGTAAGGATATC